CTGTCTGTCTGTCTGTCACAGGCCCATATATTGTCATTGTCTGTCCTTGCCAAAGACACATAGAGTGTGTCTTTGAAGTAATGCAATGAAATGCCTTGGAACTGTCTTTAAAAAAATTTGACGGAAATCATAAAGTTATAGAATTTGATGTGTAATTATGACACTGTGTTGGTATTAAGCTGCTGATGGGGCCTTAAACAGAAGCACTGTGGGACTTCTTATTGATTACAGCTGGAGAGAGGTGGCAACATTATGAAATTGCGTAGGAGTATCAGTGGTATGTTGTGAATGTCAGCCATCATTGGTAGAAGCCATACGCCATTGAGATTAAGAGGTGTCAAACATCAGGAAAATACAGGAGGCTGTCTTCTTATTAGGCAGAATATGTCTGTGTATGTGCAGTTGCCATTAAGAAGTGTTACAAATGTAGACAAAATGTAATAAAAATTAAGGTGGTAAATTCCTATGTAACATATTCAATTTCAGTATAGAGCACCTACAAATTACTGATGCTCCAAGCAGTTTGGAGTCTATCAGAATTCAGAATCTTGTTGAACCAAAGGTGACGATTTACCTGAGGCATTCAGGAATGTGATTATATACCCAATGGCGAATTGAATTATCTAGGAAAGGACCCACTCATAATTTGATTACTTAGGTACAACAGCAAAGATACCCATGTGGGGTATGTTGCTATGGAAACACATTATACAGGTGTTTGTAATATGTTTTGCAATTTTCAGCTGAAACATCGGTAATTGGCTGAAATTTGAAGGATGGGCCAGGGTGATGAGGGATGGGATAGGTAGGAGGAGAAAGAAGGAAGGGTGAAGGTGGAAGTTATAAGAGATGATGTAGGAGAGAGGAAACTGGATGAGTGAGGGCAGGGTTATAACTGATAGGGTAGGGGTGAGGAGGGGACGAAGGATATGCAAGGGTTAATAAGGGTAGAGGAGGGATAGAAAGAGGTCAGCAGGACAGGTGAGGTGAGGGTGGTGGTGATAAGGAATTGGATAGGGGAAAGGAAGAGACAGTTGGGAAAAGGAGGGGATACAAAGAGAGAGGTGTTTATGCTCGAAATATGTAAAGGGAATTCTCACAGACACAAAGAAATAAAAATATTTCAAATTATTTCAAATGGAATGCCGTACTAATTAATGCTGTAGGACTAGGAATCTTGATGTAGGTTAGTTGGTCAGAGGTTAAAGATCACAAAGCAGTCCGAGGTCAAGGGTCAGGAGGTAGTCAGTCAGAGGCTAAATGTCAGGAGTGCTGTATAGCATATTATACAGAGAGATTTGATAGAGTCTTGACTTTACCTCACAGACATTGTAATTGGTAACCAGTATGTTTTCTGATAGAAACTTTACCCTGGTAGTGCGGGTGTACTATTGGGGCGTAAGAGGCTATGCACTTTGAAACATCTTCCAGAATGGTTAAAAACAATAACAGATAAATCAGCTAATCAAAACGGAGAGGAAAATGGGTCGGTTGAATAGGATCTATAGCGCTGACACAGTAGTTAGCTCGGGAGTGCTACCACAGGGGAGGTGCATTGTATTCCTCACTTGTAATTAGCTAAGTCATTAATTAGTGGGTTTAGGTTTGATGTAGTGTGGGCCCACAACCAGCATGGTGACGGCTCATTCATCCTCACCGATCTATGTCATTCTTACTGAGGATTACAATGTCTATACTCAACTTACTGTTAAAATAACTCTCAGGTTAAACTTCTTCAGATTTTCAGCTTTAATCATTCCAGGTGCTTGACTTTAGAATTTGAATATCATCTGTGACCTCTATTTGTGGTCATTCTTTCGATCTCTGAAATATTCTGGTTTATTTTTCTCTAAAACCATATATTGCTCAAATTTATAAAGTGCTGTCTTCAATTCAGTCCAATTCCTGAAGTATCAAAGACTGTGTTGAACTTGGGGAAAGGACTGCCACCAGACTACCAGACTAAGCTTTTTTATGTTCAATTTTTGTTGTTATTTCTCATAGAATACTAAATATATATATCTCTCTCAATTTTAGACTCTCTTGGTCCTTCTTGTTCAAAATAAGGTCAAGGTCATACAGAGAGTATCCTAGATAATAGATCATAAACATTCATCACCTCAGAGGCTGTTAAATGAAAAAAGTGGTGTTTGACAAGATCTCTGAGTTAATTGTTGTTTTGACATAATGATATGTGTAGATCGGTTAATTTCCAAGTAGGCTCCTATCTGGTCAATCTCAGTGAAACAGAAAGTTGTACTCTAAGATTTAATAGTGTTTGGTTCTGTCATATTAACTACTGCAAAAACGTGTGCTTGAGTGATTGTAAACAATAAACTGCTCCAGTAATTACCCTGGTTTTGGTAACAAGGAATTGATAGAAACAGGCAAACTGTAATAACACAACTGCTAAAAACACAATTGTACATTTTTAGATGTACTTAAAACTGTAATTACCCATCAAGTTCGTGGGATGATATTCTACCTGATGGCTGTGTAATGAGAATGGATGGGCATTTGAGAGTGGCTAACACTGTTTAATGGTTGTGGTTTTATAAGGCTGGGGTACCTTAGCTAAATCTAATAACAAGCACGGTGTACACCTATCTAACTAGCATTGTGGAAAGAGCTGAGTCAAAGAAAATCTTAACAAGATCCGATATTGGGACAGTCAGTGTTTGACATTACATCAATGACAATTTAGAATTCAACTGACGATAGGACAGTCAGTGTTTTACGTCACGTCCAAAACAATTTATTATTTAACTGACAATGTAAGAGTCAGTGTTGTACATCACATCCAAGACAATTTTTGCCTTTCGTTTTCCCAGATAACCCTCTCAACCTGCCAATAGACTGGTCTGTAAAAAAGTACAAATACATCCTACGTGAAAGTCCAGGCAGCTTTTTAGTGTATAAAATGCTGGTAGCCAGCCTCAAACCACCATCAATTCAAAATTTGTTAGTTACGAGTGACATTAACCGCAACGCCCCCCCATCCTTGGAGCGGTCCGTACAGGAGGAAATGTCGAGTCTGCCAATATATGGTACTAACGGAGACATTTGAAAGCTTCGCCACAAAAAAAGAATTCAAAACTAAGGGTCATATCACATGTCAGATTGTGAATGTCATATATTTAATCACATGTGAAAAACACGGTATGCAATATGTCAGAAAAAAGTCTGCTACAACTAACATACAAATAGGCAATCATTTATACTGTGTAATCAACAAACACTCAAGCGAATCATTAGCGGGACATTTTATGTTGTCACTTCATTATGTTGATGAGTTCGTAGTTACGGGTTTGTTTTCTAATGTCACTGATACAAATTGCGGACTATGTACTGAAGAAAGCTCGATTAGAATACCAAGAACATCTCAGGCGGGAGGTTTGAATATTATATTGTAATGGCCAACACGAAGACCACAAAATTGAAGACCAGAATACGTATCCCATGTATCAGATATGTGCACATGTATGCTTGCCTACGAAGCCTTAAAAGACATGCTAACAAAGCCCGCAGGCCAGTAAAAACTTTGTATAAGCAAAAAGTTTGTAAACAATTGTAACCAGCTGAAGGCACCAGAACAGTAGGATCAGCTCATAAAAACTTTAAACCAGTTTTGGACTCAGTAACAGAGTTACTGAAAAAGGATAAAGAATTATCGGACAGTGATTTATGAAGTACCGCCTCCACACCGAACAAATCCGAAGTGTGGATTGCAAAGATACAAGTCAGCATCCGAATCTGTTTGGATGAACTGTTCTAATGTTGATATTATTTCGTAGATTTTGATTTATTTACATCTCATAGATTTGTAGTTTTGCCAGTATAATGGTTTTCCAGTTTAGACTAAACCAGTTTAATTACTTGATTATCTACTGATGAAACATCATGGGGTGTTACTGGATAAGATCACATGGTATGTATTGTATGACGTCACAATCGAAAAAGACACCACATTTTAGTACTTTAGGGGTAAGATTCACAACACAAATTGTCCTGAAGAAGACCACGTGGTCGAGCGAAACCGATAGATGTAAGTAATAAAGATATTAACTTCATTGCGCCGAGTTTGTTGCAATTAACTATTAACTTTAATTTTTTGTCTTCAACTGACAACAGAACAGTCAGTAGAAAGGTAATGTGTCAACCATTAATTTTATGTAAAAATCTTACTTCTTCCTAATGTCTCCCTTGACACTTTCTCACTTTTGGTCTTTGGATGAGAATTTCACCCAGCAGGAAGGCTTTTGGCTCTGTCCCCAGGCAGAGAAATACCAGCTTTTTTGAAAATGATAACTTCTATTCCTTGTTTAGCATTCCGTATATTAGCAGAGTAATGACCGGTTTGCCCATCATCATTGAAATGTGACCGGGTAGGATGACCTTTTAGAGATCTTGGACAGTATACTTCAATGAGGTAGCACTATAAAGTCAATTTAAGGGCTTGTGTAAACATATTGCAGCCTCACGTGCTCTGAACACACCTTGCATTCTCGAAGTGCCCATCCTTAAATAACCATAGGACTCTTAAGTGCTATCAACCAAACCATATTTACAGAACTTTTTTTTAATGTCTTATCGGATAGATGATACAATAACTTGTAAAATACACCACTTCCTGGTACATGTTGTTTGTATGGACTCCTGAAGAAGACTTGCCTTTCAGCCAATTATGGATTATGATAAACTTTTGTAAACATGGACGGAAGTATTAAGTAGAGTTTTTAAATGTTCTTAATGAAAATATCATTTTTCAGGAATTGATACCAATTTGATCTTCACAAAGGAAAACTATATCAGGTCTGCAAAGCTGACCACATAACAAATTGACTGTAATATTATTAATTGGCCTTTGTCTTGTAGAGTGGTCAAGTGTACCAAGAAAAGTCCTATGAATCCACGAAAATTTGTAGATTGTATTTAATCATCAGTGAAAATGTGTGAGTATATAACTTGATCGTTCAGTTCTGTGTTATTTATCATTACAGGGAGCCTAGAAAAGTCATCTTAAAGAAAGGTTCCACGGGTCTAGGTTTTAACATTGTTGGCGGCGAGGATGGAGAAGGTATTTTCGTGTCCTTCATTTTGGCTGGTGGTCCGGCGGATCTTGGAGGAGAACTACGCAGAGGGGATCAAATTTTATCAGTAAGTCCATTCTCATTATTATTGCCAAAAAGATTTTAAGAAATTTTTCAAAAAAAGAACAAAAAGGAAGGTAAAACATTTATTGTGTGTGTCTACTTACTGTATTGGATAGCAACAACATGTTTACTTTACTGAAATTATCGTGTCGTTAAGTAACCTAACGGAATGAAAGTAAACTGCCTATCATCACCTTTAAGTGTCATGTATTCAACAATGTCTTTAAAGTGGGTGTGTAATTACTAAAGAATTATTTATAGGGTGACAAGATTGTTGTGTTCAAACACGGGAATGATGATTGACTTTTTTTTTTTTACTTAAACAACAATTCCAGGCTTCTTTAAAATTGAAGTTTAAATTTTTCAAACCATGTTTTTTTATTCGCTCAAATTAGGCAAGGTTGTCTATAGTAGTCTCTTAATACAGCCATTTGTGCACCAATGATAACATTTTGTACGAGATCTCTCATGAGCCACTGAACGCATCTCATTCATATTCATACCATATTATCATACCACCAGGGTCTTCATCTGATTAGTTTTTTGGCAGTCATTGGTCAAGATTAAAGGTCAAAAGTCACCTTTGACCTTACTTTGGAAATGAAAAATCCAATCGAGATTTTAGCAGTCATTGGTCAAGATTAAAGGTCAAAAGTCACCTTTGACCTTACTTTGGAAATGAAAAATCCAATCGAGATTTTAGCAGTCATTGGTCAAGATTAAAGGTCAAAAGTCACCTTTGACCTTACTTTGGAAATGAAAAAAATATGTGTACAAGATACATCTCATGAACGCCTGAACAGCTGGAGAGTAATTGAAAATAATCAAGTTATAATGATTGCTTATTTCCTAATCCAGGGGGGAGGGGAAGGGGGAGGGGGGTTCTATATGACTCCTTACTCACTTTGTTTGTATCCATACAAACATTTTTTCCGGGTTAGAAATTTTGGTACATGTGTTAAAAAAGGATTGTAATAAAACAGTTTCATCTAAATCTTGTTAACTGGTAATGAAAAGATGAACTTACTAGAGAATGCTTTGTTTTGTTTGTAGGTAAATAACCATGATTTGAGATTAGCGACGCATGAAGAGGCGGCAGCAACACTAAAGGGTGCCGGAGATACTGTAGAAATTGTAGCCCTTTATAAACCAGATGGTGAGTATCACATGTTTTTATTTCCAACAGTTGGAACTTCTGTGGTTACCGAAAACACTCATTGGCTGCCATAGTTACATCTTGGATCGTGGCCCTGATTAAACCACAGCAAAAATTCTACGATAACCCAAGTGAACCAACCCACACCACCTCAGCTTATTCAAAGTAGGGATGGGCTTATTACAGGACCATGAAATAGTATTTGTCGGTATTATAAGCGGTCATCATGGATTTGGTATTTAAAAATTATTATCACTATTTCTTAAGAGGAATTTTTATATTTCATTAATTAAGAGCAAAAACAGCAGGAAAAGGGAAAAGATCCAACATTTAAAGGTCAAATAAAGGTCAGATGATAGTATGCGCCAAGATCCCTCTAGGATCTCTTGTTGTAGAATGTGGCTAGTTTGAATTACTTAGCTAATATAGGACCAAATGTCCAGGATGTGGGTTTGCAATAGTGATCTGGTTGTCTGTCTCAAGGTCTTTTATATGTTTGATTTTCAAGTTCAAGGTCAGTTGCACTTTGCTTATGCTTCTTTGAAACAAGTGCTGGCATGGGAGTAAGTTTTGGGGTCAAAAGGTTAAAGGTTTAAGGTTAAAGGTCCAGGTTACCATTGCTCTAAATGAAAATGGGAATATACACAAAAAAAAAAATATATATATATATATATATATAAATCAAACTTGGTCAGAGGGTCAAAGATAAAGGTCAAATTTGGATTTTACAGGCAAATTATTGTTTCTAAAAAGCAATAAACAAAAATTCAATATCATTGTAACACTCAGGTTAAGATTCTACACAATGTAGGTCTCTTTATGATGTGTGTCAGTGCCAACAAAAATCTAGTTTAAAAAAATTCTGTTACTATAAAATTAGGGGACTAAGTTTAGTCTCAAGGCCTTACATGTTCAAATTAAACCTTGCTCGATTCCTTCCTACTGTCCAGCAAAGATGTGCACATTCTTATATACAATGAGAGATATGTTCAGAAATTATGAAAAATATGGCAAAAAGTGATAAAAACTAGTATGTTTGTTGTCAGTTAGGTGTTATATATTAAAAGTTAGCTTTAGATTTAAGTAATTTTTGGATTTTATTACATACCCTGCGTAAGAACTTAGCCTCACTTACCTTATCTCAGAATTCTGGCGATGATTTCTCTTAACATAGTGTTCATTAGTGTACACTTAATGATGGCTAGAGACCATATATTTACTTTAAATAACATGTTGTAATTAATCAATGATGACTCTGCAAGAGACCCAAGGGTCAGTGGAGTATATGACCACTAAAGGGCAGGAATGGCTCCCAGGGACACCTAGTAATTAGAGTTTTTTATATCCATGCATCTGAGAGACAATTACATAGAGGCAGTGGGGATAGGCAAGCCAAAATTGCAGTTGTGTGACCTGGTGGCCAATAGCTAGCGATTTGGTAGTAGGTCAGTAAGTATGAAATGACCTGTGTGGTTCTGAGGCAAAGTGAAATCAATGGGATCTGTCTGATCCAGTGTGAGAACAGTTACAGAAGCCAGAGTAGGGTAATTGTTCTATGTGAGTGTTGGTTATTACACTGGCTGTCAGAAACAAAACTACCCAGTCTTAACTGTGTTATACTCATTGTTATACTTAAACTGTCAAACATGGTTATATCATCACTGATCGTCAAACACTGTTTATACCCACGCAAACTGTCGAACACTGTTATACACACACTGACTGTCAAACACTTTTATACCCTCACTGACTGTCAAACACCTTTATACCCACACTGACTGTCAAACACCTCTTTACCCACACTGACTGTCAAACACCTTTATACCATCACTGACTGTCACCTTCATACCCACACTAACTGTCAAACACTGTTATACACACACTGACTGTCAAACACCTTTATACCCACACTGACTGTCAAACACCTCTTTACCCACACTGACTGTCAAACACCTTTATACCATCACTGAATGTCAAACACTTTTATACCCACACTAACTGTCAAACACTGTTATACACACACTGACTGTCAAACACCTCTTTACCCACACTGACTGTCAAACACCTTTATACCCACACTGACTGTCAAACACTGTTATACCCACACTGACTGTCAAACACTGTTAAATCATCACTGATTGTCAAACACTGTTATACCCACACTGACTGTCAAAGACTGTTAAATCATCACTGATTGTCAAACACTGTTATACACACACTGACTGTCAAACACTGTTATACCCACACTGACTGTCAAACACTGTTATACCCACACTGACTGTCAAGCACTGTTAAATCATCACTGATTGTCAAACACTGTTATACCCACACTGACTGTCAAACACTGTTATACCCACACTGACTGTCAAGCACCTTTATACCCACACTGACTGTCAAACACCTCTTTACCCACACTGACTGTCAAACACCTTTATACCCACACTGACTGTCAAACACTGTTATACCCTCACTGACTGTCAAACACTGTTATACCCACACTAACTGTCAAACACTGTTATACCCACACTGACTGTCAAACATCTTTATACCCTAACTGACTGTCAAACACTGTTATACCCACACTAACTGTCAAACACTGTTATACCCACACTGACTGTCAAACACTGTTATACCCACACTGACTGTCAAACACTGTTATACCCACACTGACTGTCAAACACTGTTATACCCTCACTGACTGTCAAACACTGTTATACCCTCACTGACTGTCAAACACTGTTATACCCACACTGACTGTCAAACACTGTTATACCCACACTGACTGTCAAACATCTTTATACCCACACTAACTGTCAAACACTGTTATATCCACACTGACTGTCAAACACCTTTATACCCACACTAACTGTCAAACACCTTTATACCCACACTAACTGTCAAACACCTTTATACCCACACTAACTGTCAAACACTGTTATATCCACACTGACTGTCAAACACCTTTATACCCTCACTAACTGTCAAACACCTTTATACCCACACTAACTGTCAAACACCTTTATACCCACACTAACTGTCAAACACCTTTATACCCACACTGACTGTCAAACATCTTTATACCCACACTAACTGTCAAACACTGTTATATCCACACTGACTGTCAAACACCTTTATACCCACACTAACTGTCAAACACTGTTATACCCACACTGACTGTCAAGCACCTTTATACCCACACTGACTGTCAAACACTGTTATACACACACTGACTGTCAAACACTGTTAAATCATCACTGATTGTCAAACACTGTTATATCCACACTGACTGTCAAGCACCTTTATACCCACACTAACTGTCAAACACTGTTATATCCACACTGACTGTCAAACACCTTTATACCCACACTAACTGTCAAACACCTTTATACCCACACTAACTGTCAAACACCTTTATACCCACACTAACTGTCAAACACTGTTATATCCACACTGACTGTCAAACACCTTTATACCCTCACTAACTGTCAAACACCTTTATACCCACACTGACTGTCAAACATCTTTATACCCACACTAACTGTCAAACACTGTTATACCCACACTGACTGTCAAGCACCTTTATACCCACACTGACTGTCAAACACTGTTATACACACACTGACTGTCAAACACCTTTATACCCACACTAACTGTCAAACACCTTTATACCCACACTAACTGTCAAACACCTCTTTACCCACACTGACTGTCAAACACTGTTATATCAACACTGACTGTCAAACACTGTTATACCCACACAAACTGTCGAACACTGTTATACCCACACTGACTGTCAAACACCTTTATACCCACACTGACTGTCAAACACTGTTATACCCTCACTGACTGTCAAACACTGTTATACCCACACTGACTGTCAAACACTGTTATACCCACATTGTTGATATGCATCATTGATATTTTTCATTATAACTATATTTCAGACTGACTTTATCATTAAAATATATTTGAAAATATATTAATATATACAAGATTTTATTGTGGAGTTTGTGATTATGTGCAATATACAGCTGTGATTTTCATGTTTTATTGTGTAAAAATACAAAAACATAATTATAGGATGGCTGAGGGAATGCTGATGTTGACACTAGGGGGTGTTATAGACAGAAGTAATGATGTCTAGTCCAGAGAATAGTGCTGCATAAGCCTGCTATGGAAGAAATCATTATCTTTAGACAACTCGAGTCTGTACCGCTTCCCTCGGTGTGAGGTGAATACTGAAACGTTCTAGAGGGTAAATGTTAAATAGAAAGAGAGAAATGTTTGATATACAGGACAGATACTTATACTTATTCATCCACCAGTTCAAGTACTGACACTCCATGTCTTTACTGTTCTTCAGAATATAACCGATTCGAAGCCAAGATACAGGATTTACGGGAACAAATGATGAACACAAGCACAGGAAGCTTACGTACTACACAGAAACGCACTCTTTATGTGAGGTATGTAATTTTATATTGAAAGTAAAAATTTACAGATACAAGCATCGTTAAGATAGATCCAGAAGCATGTTATTTCATTGTTTAGAAGATTTTGGCAGTTTTTATTGTTGAGGGTTCTTTGCACAAGTGATTGATTAATATGCTAGCTTGTTAAATTATTGGAATAATTAATTCCCTGTGCGTCATTCAAGGAATTTTTCTCTGAGGAATTGAAAGCTTTTTTTATCTCTTCTCATTATTTGTGTCTGAATAAATCTTGGAGAGATTTTTACCCAAAAATCTTGTACATAGACCTTAGCAAGCTTTGGTGACCGGATAAGTTTATTATGTTTCATTTTGTTAAACCCAAAACTCAGTAATATTATAAACTGAATTATATCTGTTATCTTTGTTCAACATTCTCAAACCTCTTTAAGGAATATTTTTATTCCTCAATCTTGATCAATTTCTAAAACCTCTTCTAAGGAATTTTTGTATTCTTTAATCCTTACCAATATTTTCAAACTTCTGAAATATATATATTTTCTTATCCATATAAGCTTTGTACTAAGCGTGAGGGAAGAAAAACCCCACTGAAGTACTTGCAATAGATGCATCCTTATGTTGTAGTTCAACTACTTTGTATCTCGGAGATGTTTGTATTGTAGAGCTTTGTTTGACTACGACCCATCCAAAGACAGTGGTCTTCCCAGTAAGGGGCTGCCATTCCGTTACGGAGATATTCTACACGTGACAAATGCTAGCGATGATGAGTGGTGGCAGGCGAAACGCGTGACGCCGGACGGAGAGGAGGAAGGCATGGGGATTATCCCCAGTAAGAAACGGTCAGTGATCCATTATACTCCCCTACCATACATAAGATATGTAACAAAATATGACAATAAGAATAGTACATGTAGCACCTTCTTATATCATAGTGTTGTTACATTATTAAGTTGTCTCTGATAGAGAGGGAGAGGCTTATGCTGTCACCCCAACGTTGGCATCAGCATTTGGCTTTAAATGTTTAGTTTTGGTGCAAGCGTACGAGGGTACTGTAGTTAGAGGATTACTGTAGGAGATAACCATTACTTCTCAGAGTCGGAGGGAACTACCTAATGTCCAGTTTTTGGTGTCAATGTTTGAAATTTCCTGTTCAAATATCAATATATTGGGATATAGATTCAAGTTGGTGAAACCACTCTGTAATGATGGTTTGAGGTTTAATGATTAACAGTGTGAGTTGGCAGTTCTCTTGTTAATGTTCATGGCAAGAGGGGAAGGAATTTCTCTAATTTTTGTGGAAAAGACATAATTAATGAATAAATTGGGGGGGGGGCACAGATTTGAACTTCAACAAAAGATTTATGATTCTACAGATTGTTCTTTTTTTTTTCAAATTATTTATATCTAAATTAATTAGCCTGAAGTTGTTGATCTTTGTAATATAATGACAGATGACATCGCTATCTTTGTCATATGATGACATCACTATATCTATGATGTCATGCTACCATGTGTACGAATTAAGACATTACTTGAGTAATTCCTTTATTAAAGGAAGAAAATATTTCAGATAACATTTGGATATTTCAGGAATCATTTCAGAACTGACTTAACCATCATATTCCAAGACAGCTTATTTCAGCCAATATCTATATTTCAGTCTTTTCATAACCAGAAATTGAAAATTTGAACAAAAGAAGAGGGAAAGAAAAAAAAACTCCCATCAATCATTATATCATATTCAAGAAAATAAAAATAGTTAATAGCAAAGTTCAAATGCTTCATCTTAAGATGTCATTCTGTTCTTCCCAAACACAATTTGTATGGTAGAAGGTATGTTTTATGCATTAAAGGATCAATATTTTGCAGTGAAAGTAAAATGATTTGCAATGCTTCAAAATGAAATGAAATCTTGCATTTCTGCGAATCTGCAGATTTATCTAGTTACGTATTAACTTTGCTGACATCAGCTTCTGTAGAAAATTTCCATAATTGGACCTTGAATTCTTGTACAGAAACTTCACATATGATTTGTCGGAGCACAACTTCCTAATATTCGATTAATAGCAGCTGTCTGAGATAGGAAAACACCCAGATTTATATCCTTAAGGTAATAACATATTTACCAGTAAGAAGTTGACTGGGAAAGAGGGCAGACTTCACCTTCTGCCAGGAGAATAATTCCCCGCCTACATGTCACAAAATAATGATCGGGGTTTAAGAAAGCAGTTTGTATAGACATCAGGCAGATAAATGACTTGTTCCACCCCAGACTTACGAGCCTGAGAGTCAATATTGCAGTTTTGATGTTGGTGCAGGTTAGCTGCCATGCAGAATCCCCTTGTTTGGCCACTGCGTCAGGCTCTTATTGACACTGAAGACTGGTGACTCGACCAAAAGTCCCGAACCGCAGATTTACTGGGAAATTTGTCCGCTCTATAAGACCCATACTGCAGATTCCTTGTGACTCCTGGGTAGAGCTTCCTTACCAAGATTGGGGCTCATTAGAAGTCCTAGGCTGAGCCTTTGTTTAGGGCTTATATTCATACAGTGAAGAATGTGTCCGTTTGGTACAGATAAGACATCGCGGCTACAGTGACAGCTAGAGCTTACTGGACTAGTATTTTGACTTATAACATTTGACTCAGAGCTTTCTTGAGCTCTTGTATGAGAGCTGGATGGACAAGTGTGTCACTAGAAGCCTTCTTGTGTTAGGTTTTCAAACACCTTACTTTTCCAGTATGTCAACAAATTATTTTGTGTCATAATAACACGTTTATCTTTTTGGAACATTATCCTATTGAAGGTATAGACTAAAAACATTATACAAGATATACTTCCTTTTTGGACAAGGCTATATAGAAGAAAATGTCTGTTTCTTGTTACAGTGTGGATCGGAAGGAAAGGGCACGGCTAAAAAATGTGAAATTTACAGGAAAAACAAGTGAAAAGGTAAGACCTTATCTGTATCAATTTTCAAGAAAATTGATTTTATTTATTTACCTGTATAATTGATTTGGCGCAAGCAAATTTTCTTGCATTATTTTGTCAATTTTTGGCAAATTAGGATTAGATGAATTAAGAACATACAGAAACTGCTATCATTGAAAGTTAATACTTTCAACAAGAAAAGCGCTAAAATAAGACAACCACTAAAACATGTATATATACAGTAATTCAGAATAACAATTGATTCTGGCCCTCATGAAATCAGGAAATTCAACAGCTTTCATAATTTGTCTTCATTATTTTGTACCAACTTCAGATTTCATGATTTTGTGGGGAAAAGTCTTTGTTTTATATAAATTAAGCTTTTTCTGAAAACTGAAAATTTAAACTATCACAGAAAATAATCTTTACCATATATGGTCAGTATAACAGGATCTACTGGGAGTGATTTCTCTTTGTAGTATCATACTTTACATTTGCTTTTTAAGAATTTTATACTTGGAGAGATTTTGGTTGAGGATTCTATTATAATAAATTTACTGCTCCATTTAAACTTCTGTCCTGGTAATTTATATGAATATATTAATTAAAGAATATTACCAGATATAAGGTTTTATGTAATAAAGATTTTTTGCTGTTTTGGTTGCTATAGGATTTGTTTGCATTTCAACAGGAAGCGATATTGATGTAGACATGTTTATCATTGGGTGTGGGTTTTGCTGCAGAATAGATGTAGTTTTAAACAGTTGTCAGAGAAGGTTAAAAAACGTTGGTAAATTATTTGGGTCTCTTCGTTAATAAAATTTGTTCATATTGTTTTCTCTTGCAGTCAAATGGTAGCTTACAGGCAGCTGCTAATGAAAAGAAAAAGAAAAATTTCTCGTTCACAAAAAAATTCCCATTCATGAAGAGTAAAGACCAAAGTGGTAGTGAAGAAGTCAGTGCTGATGAACGTGAGTTATCTCCCCTTGTTTTAGAAACATTAAAATTAATTTTTTTTGTGATGATGTTCATATCCTTTACTTCAAAAATAAAAGAAAATCTGAAATATTGGTAAACAATTTTGTCTCTTGATACTTTCAATTAATTTTATAGTTTAATGAATGCCATGCTTTTGCTGAATCTATGCTACAGTGTCTGTTGTCAATATAAACCATTGATGCATTAAAATACAAATTAAATGGAGAGAAATATGTTGATTAAAAGAAAAAAAAAAATTTCAAAAAACTAAAAAAGTTAACAATTAAGAAAAGGTTATTTTCCTTTTATTGAAAAAGATAAAAATATCTATTATACATTTGTTTCAATATGTATAATTCTTGATCAATTTATAAATAAAGCAATTAAAAACCGATACCAAAATATATGAAGTCATTTTCCACTTCCTGAAGAAGGTTAGTTTACTTCTGTTTAGTAGGTCGTATAACAGGTTTGTTGCTATAACCATGCAAGTAAGCAATCTGTATCACACAGCTACCATGAAGCGTGCTATGATCACATGATTAATAACATCTAGAGGAACTGTGATTGGATGTCGGTTCCTATAGCAACGCCGTGATTTTGAAATATCAGATAAATTGTCACGTCATGAGGGAAAAAGATATTAAGTCAAAATACTGATACATCAAATTTCATTTCAGTCTGAAAAAAAAAAATGTATTTTCGTGGATGTGCTAAAAAAATTAATTCCATTTCATTATAAGATCTGTTTTCCTAAAAATAATATATTCCTCAACTCTTATAACAATTTGCAAAAGATAGAAATTTGTGTTAGTTATTAAGTTTCATATCATGAAATAGAAACTTGTGTATAATCAGTTTCACATTAAGAAATGGAAAGTTGTGTATAATCAGTTTCACATCAAGGAATGGAAAGTTGTGTAAAGTTAGTTTCACATAAGGAATGGAAACAATAAGTAGGTATATATATATAGGTATATTTATAACAATCTGTCTTCAAGATTAACATTTCAGTAATGTATGACTTTTTTTTTTTTATCCAAACACGCAGCGGAGGGTAATACATTTCTCTTATTTCTGCTAATTACCATTTACTCTAACACACTTATAAACATTCGGATTGCTTATCTCCCCTTATTCCTGACAATTGGATGAAACACAGCTATATTTGTTCTGGCTGTGCTGCTGTTGGTAGTTGACTGTTTATGTCGGATTACCTAATACCTCCTTGTTTAACCTGTCTGCTTCAAGAATTTTCCCAATAATTTGCAAATATTTTATTTCTGTCTTTACTTACTTACATGGCTTTTTCATTGCTTACCTCACTCAACCGTAGAATGGAAGTGATTCATTTGTATCGTCAACGGGCGTTAATGGCCGTTTTCGTATCTTTATTGATTTTTCTGTGTTTATCACCGCTTACTTACGATGTTGTTTGTCTTCTTCGTAAAGAGTCACATCTCTGTTATAGCACTCTTCATATAACACTGAAGATTTCAGCTTCTAATTTTATCTGTAGCGGAAAATCAAAAAAGGTTTAACAAGCAAAACAATTTTGTCCTTAAGATATAAACTGTGTTTTTAGTTTTTTAATTTTCACTCTTTAATCGTTTATTACACTTTGTGAAACGTTTACAAGATTCTGACATCCCTGAAAATGATTCTGATTTATTCAGTACGTGATATGTCCAATTTATCAATGATCTAGTAACAATATATTACACTCATTCACAAACTCATGATAAATGCTTCCCAGAGAATTTTATATTTCCAATCCTCCAGAACCAATAGTATTTACTCAAGAAAAAATCTGTTTTTCTAAAGATAAGGTAAGACGTATCATTTGTTTGATCAACTTAGCCTTGGGGAACACAACTGTACATTAATAATTACGTAAACAATTCCAGCTTCGAAAATTTTGGTATTGTCAGCTTTATATACCTTGTCTATCTTCTGTGAACTACGTTGCTGATTCTACTGTATCATTTTTCACAACAGATAAGTATTCATTTAATAGCTGGCTGCCAAATAATCCTTCCTTTACATATCCTATTAAAAGTTAATTGCAAGGTTTCAAATTGGTTGTAATATAAACGTTGAAATTTATTGATTTCGTCCAGTGTGTAAATATCCTTCTCCTGTCACCAGTGCTGTGTATCATCAGCTATATTCAATAACGGGGGCCGTAGTACCTCATTCGGTAGAAAATTATTGACCTATGTAGCCCCATGTTTGAAGATCTGAGGTACGTAGTTCAATGCCAACTACCCATAATGGTTTGTGTTTCTTAAAAAGCTTAGAAACAAACTAATTTGTGCTGTTGCGTTCTTGGACAAGACGCTTTACCGCAAATTGCCCTAAATAGCACACAATGATCCTCCTGTATGTTGTTCAGTGAGGAAGCCACCGGCAAACTGCTACAAAAAGACCCCTACCCCTCTAAGTTCAATACAATACAAAAGGTTATGATGTTGTGGCCAGTTAGATCATGAAGGAGTTCTCTTATATCGTACTTGTAGTTATGAAACTTTTTGTTGCCAGTTAATTCATATTTCTGTGCTTCATGAATAATCTTCAAACTGCTGTATACGCAGGGATATATTTGTCAGATCCCAAATATATTTTCATCTTTTCTCTATGTTTTCTGGTAATTTCTTAATCACTGTTTGTCCAAAAAAACTTAAAACAATAGAACGTTTTCCTATATTATAACAATCTGTTTTTAAAATAGCTAGCTAGTTGATTTCTCTATTTCCAGTGTACTCGATACTTCTTTGTTCCTATGTCGTTGAGTCACCAGCTACGGGGCGTTACCTCAGTTTTCAATACACCGTCATATTATCTCTTTTAAGAAACATTTTGAAGCAGAAAGTTATCAAATAGTATGACATACAGTAATTGCATATTGGACAAACAACCATAAAGAAGAAGTATTGCACAGCGCTAGTGATGCGAATGAAAATTATTACAGGATGACGTCAAAAAATGGACTTTTTATGCATTTTTCAAACATCTGTAACTTTATTAAGGTTAAATGTTGTGGAAATAAGATAAAACTTTCTAGAGGTAAAGGTACTTTATGATTAAATGTTATGATCAATTTATTTTTAGATTTTTTGCTCCCAATTTATTATTTTGGAATGCTGCATGTGACACAGAATCCTCAGGATTCATCATCACACAGACTTAAACAATTACACAAAGACGTCCCTTTAACAATCGGGAACGCCTCTCAGAAAATGTTTTATGTTTTGATTAAATCAAAAAAAAAGAAATGATAAAGTTAGTATTAAAGTGTGTTCTTCTTAAATTCAACATGAAACAAAAACATCAGTCAAGTTCATTTTGATGTGAAACAGTGAAAGTTACAAAAATTTTGAGAGAGCAGATCAGAAATCAAATCTTAGGCCTGTGTGTTGAATTATGTGGATGTGGCTAATATGTTTTAGGGGCAGGTCAACTACCTACATTTATGAATCAAAATATTTCTAAGGATAATTGTTTAAACATTTGATATTTTTATGAAATAAGTATTGAAGCCATTTAGATAAATGTTGTGATTAGATTTCTATTGTTTTAAGTGTTTTGAGTTAGATAATGTGTTTGGTGTTGACCTGTCAATTTGGCTTGTTTTATTTGCGGACCTTTCCTCATTAGAGCTGATAATGGCCTGCCTGTTTTTGATTGGGATTGTTTTGTTTTTTTTCCCCGGACAGGTACAGCTGAGAGTGAAGCTAGTTTCCGTAAGTAAAGCACCCTTGAACATTAAAAAACTGTGTTAAGACCACACCTGTATCTAAAGGTCTGTTCTGTATAGTCAGGGATATGTCTTCCTAAAGGGAAAAAATAACAACAGATAACAATTTCACCTGTCATATATAAGTATCATGGAAACAGTTTGCTGAAATTATTTGCTTTCACATGATGTTATGATAGCTTATTTAATTATGATGGTATCCAAATATTTTGGGTAAAATTTCATGTCCTGTTTTATATATAATTATTTACTAAAGGGAGGTAATTCCACAATTAAAATTGATTTTTAGTTTTTCATTTTAAACCCGATATTTTTTCATCTGTTTTAATGTGGCTATATCAAATTACTAACCACTGCACACAATCAAAGAAAATAGATCTAGGGTGGTTGGATGTTTTTATTTTTAATATATGTTATGTACAAATAGTAAGTGAGTTATCCCCCTTTGGAGGAAGACATAGTTCTCATTGACAACAGTAATATATCTCTCTAATAATCCTATTTTCTGTTCTATTGCTTCTACAAAATCTTTATCTTCTAACATATCTGATGAGTATAAATTATAATTACTGGTTTGTTAGGACAACATATCCTTTCATCTTTTACATGGGAAATGTGTATCTGTGCCAATCAGATGTGTGGGAATTTTTTTATTTAAGCAGTCACGCTTGAAAATGTTTACAGTTTCCACTTTTCATGTGTATGTGTCATAAAACTTACAGGTGAGGAGACTGTAACTGAGATAGATGATAGTGTTTATTTTTATAGCTGTGATGTCATTGTCGTGTTGTTAGCTGGCTGATATTTTCTAATGATAAAAAAGCATTTTCTTAGATTAGAACAAGGAAGACTGGAATTTTTAATTTTTAGAAAAGTTTCTGAGAACATGAGAAGTTTTTTTTTAAGTGTTATGATAGTTTTGCCTTTTTTTTCTGACAAATTTTTTAAGGAGTTATGGCCCTTTTTTGTTTCCGTAAATTGAATTGTTGGAACAGGCTTGTATCAATTGATCCTACAGTTTACATTCTATTTAAGAAGTTTAAGCTTGTGATATGTTATAATTGTTTTATTTTTTAAGGTATACAGTAAATATTTCTGTCCAATCAAATTCATCTTATTACTTGTTGTTTTGGTTTATCATGTTTTGTCAGTTTTTGTTCCGCTTATTTCAAGTAGATTAATCTTTTCAACTTTCATAACTTTCATTTTTAAACATATAGGAATGTTGAAGTATTCTCTTGGTTTTTTTAAAGAAAAAATAGTACACTACTGAGGGTGCTTTGCTTATTCTGAATGGATGTGAAAAATTCCTACCACCACCTCAATGTAGACAGTTGTCTCCCTTTAGTCAGCTCTTTAGATGTTTTTTTTTTTTTAATTTTCCCTTTGTTTTTTTATTTATTTATTTATTTATTTTTCTTGGAAACTGAAAAAAAAAATTCATTGAAGAAAAATCATGTCAGTTTGACCTTATTATGTGACCTCTTCATTTGTTCTAGATTTGGAAAAAAAAAAAATCTCATCTGATATTCAAAACTACACAAAAAATTCTGTGTTGGGTAATTGTGCAATGTGTTATATGAAAATATAAATAATTGAGAATTTGGAAACATTTTGTTGGAAAAAAAAAAGAGAGAAAAGTTTATCAAATAGAAACAAAACAAAAGAAAATTTTACTGAAAACATGTTTATTTGTTCATCAGGATTTGTTTAAGGAATCATAATAATGCTTCAAATGTTGTTATAGAACTACAAGTGGGATAACCAGGATCAGGGTTTTATCATGTTTTCTATGTGTTTTTGTTTATGGATTTTCATGTGAATGTTTTAAACAGAGCTGAGTTTATAATGTTTGTACCAGTAATTAAAAAATGATTATAAATGAATACTGGAAGAATTTCTGCTTAGTTACTTGTTGAAAATTGTTCGCATTTGAATATTAGTTTTAGTCAAATGTCACCATGTTTGTATCAGACAGCGCTATATCATACCTCTAAAATATTTAAAAAGGTACTACATAAAACCCTGTTCTTTAGAGTCCCTTTGATGTCCTAGAGTTGCTTCCCTTCATTTCACTCCATTGGATGGTATAGTGATAAGCTTGACTGCTGATGGAGTTCTGAACTAATGTGTGATCAGCTTACTTATAAGTCTACCTGGTTTGTGTTTCAGGAGGCGATGAACCAATTCTCTCCTACGAAGCTGTCATACAACAAGAATGTAAGTTATGTCACGCAATGCTTTAATATTGTCATCTGAAGTGACTATGAATAAATTACCAATGTTGAAAACCACATTTAATACTCTATAAATATTTCCTTCATCATATTTTCTGAATCTCAATTTCTCACGGAAACTCCTTGTATTTTGCCTCCATACATGACTGTTCAAATCCACAGAATTCAAAACATTCTATTGGTTTTCTTGTGGTTTTCAAGGCCACCACAGAGCTATTTTGCATACACAACAGTGAAGATTTTACCAAGTCTGTACATCTGTAAACATTGAATTCCAAAGTTACTAGGATTTATAGCATGCTTGTATAAAGGTCAAAATGTCTGAAGGGCATATCCGTCCATGTTATTACTTAAGCAATTTTATAATGGGAAAATTTCAATACGTCTTGAGTAGATGGTAGACCTTCCTTTAAGAGCTTTTCATAGAAATGTTTTACAAAATTATTTATTTATTCATTTTTTTTATTTCTTTGTTAGAATGATATTTACGGACACAAGTCACTGATAAATAGATTTATATGTAAAATATTTTTCAATGGTATGAACAAAGACTGTCTATGAATCGAAAAAAACATTGCAACATATACATTATAGATACATTGAATTGATGTAATTGCATATTGATCTTAAAAGGTCACAGTCTGAAGCTTTTAAATACCTTTCTCTGTATGCCTCTCTCTCTCTCTCTCGCTGTCTCTCTCTTTTATTTTTATCATCAATACAGCATTTAATCTAAGCCTAATTTCTTTACATTAAATTTTGAACAATCTCGGTTTTCAATTACATGTGATAGATACATATGTAGGTATGTTTTATATTTTATCATCATTCTACCTAAAAACCCTAATTTCAAGAATACATGTACTTACTCAGAAAACTGAAAATTGAGAATTGTTTGTCTAAACCAACGGTCAATAAGATTTAGGACATGATCCTTGTGGTCGTCATTAAATGACACAATAGGAAAGATAAAAATTCAAAAATATTTTGAGAGTTTATGAAACATATTATATAATAAAAGTGAAATGTTGCTTGATTTTTCATGCATGAATTTTTAATGTTCATGTGTGACACTTTCATAGGATATGTAATAAATAGCAATTTTTACAATTTCATGAACTTTGATATCCAAGTTTACAAACTTGATATGATAATGTTTGTGAGAGTGAATTATCAGTGAATACAGAAAAGAATGTTCACTTTACTATTTATAACTTATGTCTGTTGGAAAATGTTTTACAGTGAAGTACACACGACCAGTGATTGTGCTAGGTCCTCTTAAGGATAGAATCAATGACGATCTCATCTCAGAATTCCCAGACAAATTTGGAAGCTGTGTCCCCCGTGAGTATATCACCTTCACTTGATGTTACAGTTATTCAATTACAATAAGGCACAGAAAATTGTCAGTATAATTTTTTATGTTTTACCGTTTGACGGCCCTAATGACCCCTTTATGTGTTGATAGGTCGTTAAGAATGTAATAATAATAATAATAAAGTATAATTTGATGTTTTGTCTTTTAAGATGCTTATAGATGTACTGGAATCACAAAAATTATTAATTTTGTTTTAAAAATGGAATTTTAATATTTATTTACAGCACCAATATTGTTAGATCCCATGGGAGTTATCTAGCATAATTTTTTTATTGGAACGTGAATTTATTTGATACATTTAGATAAGGGAATGTTACTGACATTGGGTTTTTTATCAACTATATGTCTAGTTCACATTACTGTCTTGAACTTTATTAACGTCTTTTTTCCATAGACACAACAAGATCCAAGCGAGATTATGAAGTTGATGGACGAGATTATCATTTTGTGGAGTCTCGGGAACAGATGGAGCGTGACATTCAGAACCACCTATTTATAGAAGCAGGACAATATAACGATAACCTGTATGGCACAAGTGTTGCCTCCGTAAAGGAGATTGCGGAAAAGGTAGACAACTCTTCTTGACTTCAATAATTTTCCACTGTAAACTAATAGCATTGTTGAGGATGGGGTCATATAATAATTTAGGCAATTCACCTATCAAGAGACCTGCATCAGTTAGGAAATAATCAGCTTGCCAGATTTTTCCCTGATGGAAAATAAACAAAGATGAGAAGGGGATCACTTACTGAAGTTGATTTTAAAATTTTTTCCCGCGGGAAATTTATTTATGGGGAGAGAAATGATGTAGCAGTATCGAAATATTTCATTTTCTCACTCTTTGGTAAGGAAAGAGAAAAACTCACAAGCATTTGTTATGGTTACAAAAAGATGATGATGACACCCAGGGTCGTTATCTGTTGATGTTAGATGTGTAGCCATATCTCATGATCATTGATTCGCAAAAGTTTTTTTTCTTTTATCACTCTGAGACTTGGACGAGAAATTTCCAGTTTTAAGATCAGAGTAATGGAGAGGGAAAAAAAATGAATCCAAGATATTGAAGTATGCTGTTTCTATTTGCAGGGAAAGCATTGTATATTGGATGTGAGTGGGAATGCTATAAAGCGATTACAAGTAGCAGGACTCTATCCAGTGGCTGTCCTAATCAAACCTAAATCAGCCACATCTATCATGTAAGTATAGAGGCCACCTCTCATCAAGGTCACACTGACCACCTATAATCAAGGTCATACTGACCACCTGTCACTAAGGTCATGCTGACCACCTATCATCAAGGTCAAGCTGACCACCTGTCACTAAGGTCATGCTGACCACCTATCACCAAGGTCGTACTGACCACCTGTCACTAAGGTCATGCTGACCACCTATCATCAAGGTCAAGCTGACCACCTGTCACTAAGGTCATGCTGACCACCTATCACAAAAGTCATGCTGACCACCTATCATCAAGGTCAAGCTAACCACCTATCACCAAGGTCAAGCTGACCACCTATCACCTAGGTCATACTGACCACCTATCATCAAGGTCAAGCTGACCACCTGTCACTAAGGTCATGCTGACCACCTATCACCAAGGTCATACTGACCACCTGTCACTAAGGTCATGCTGACCACCTATCATCAAGGTCAAGCTGACCACCTGTCACTAAGGTCATGCTGACCACCTATCACAAAAGTCATGCTGACCACCTATCATCAAGGTCAAGCTAACCACCTATCACCAAGGTCAAGCTGACCACCTATCACCTAGGTCATACTGACCACCTATCATCAAGGTCAAGCTGACCACCTATCACCAAGGTCATACTGATCACCTATCACAAAAATCATACTGACCACCTATCATCAAGGTCAAGCTGACCACCTATCACCAAGGTCATACTGATCACCTATCACAAAAATCATACTGACCACCTATCTTGATTCTTGGTTGTATATGAGAACTATAGTGTTACTGGAAATCAGCCTTAGGTCTGCAGTGAACTTATTTAGTACAAGATGCAGTTGTGATGAATAATATATACTTTGGATAAAAACTATTTTACCTCTAAGCTGGGGGATTTGATAAAGTGCTAAACACCCTGGGTTGTTCACATATTTTTGTTCTTTTGTCCACTGATTTCTGTTTCCTCTGCTGTTTCAGGGAAATGAACAAAAGGATCACAGAAGAACAAGCTAGATTGACCTACGAACGAACTATGAAACTGGAGCAAGAGTTTGGGGAATATTTTACAGGTACGTTACCTCAACTTTCCATCGTCATGATAAACAGATGATGTGCTAATACACGTCAAAAAATTGATATGAAACAACGGTTCAAGTATCACAGAGTATGACACAAGTCTCGGTCGTGATCTTCATGTATAATGAATGACTTTCTTTTCAGCATCTTGACCCTTGTCTCCACAAGTCCTTACTTTGGAGAAATTGTTTTTCACATTTGTAAAGACAAAAAATAAAGTAGCAAAAAAATATTGACATGAAAAACCAATTTTAAGCTTTCCATGAAAAATGCATCTTTGTAACTTTGTTAAAATTGTGAAAAATTGAACCATGAACAAAAAACAGGTTTTAAAGTGCATAGAGCAATCATAGTGGATCTGCTTTTTTCTCTCTGCATTAATTTGTCCCCAAAAAAATCATGCTATAATTTGATTATGCAACAGAAAGTATTTTTACAGTATATAATTAAAACTGTACTGACCTGAATTTCTTTCTTTGTTTCAGCGGTTGTACAGGGTGACTCAGCAAACGAAATCTATGCAAAGGTGAAAGAAGTGATCCGAGACCAGTCTGGTCCCACTATCTGGGTTCCTGCCAAGGAGAAGTTATGAGCCATTTGTCGTAAAGTGGACACAGGCACACAGCAAACCCATTCAGGAGCTTTCTTGTTAGCCATTGGATAGCAATTGTCATGTGATCCAAAAGTTAGCCAATCGTTGATGAGCAGACCATTTTCAAGGCAGATGGTTTGTGGAGTTTGAAGTATATATGACACACCATTGTGTTTTATATTGGGCACAACATTTGGTGGGCGAAACTGTTCCGTTTTAACCTGTAACCATGGAAACATAGACTGTTGACTACGGTAACTGTAGACTGTTACCATGGTAACAGCAATGGCAGAGGACAGATGGAAAGGACTTATTTTATCATTAATATATAATTACATTGTATAAATGTGGATCATCGTCACATCCATGTTAACCTTACTTTTGTCTGGAGGCTGGGCGGATCTGATAGATGTTAATGAGTGGGGATGTGAGGACGCTGTGTGCGGATTACATGTTGTGAATGTCGTCAGTGAATTGGAGAAACCTTTTGTCTTTCTTTTGTTGTTGGGGAGGCTGTGGTTTGTACATAAATATCACATGCTGGTATAGATCCTGGCTTATTAAACCTTTCATTATAAATCCTTACACCAAAACTTGAAACTAGATGTGTGGATTGAGAGCCACAATACTATATTATTAGACTCCGGAAAGCAGAGCTCAGGAAATGAGCTTAGGTTATCGTGGCACCAAAAATCAATCATGGATATCTGTCATATCACTGACATGTTGTAATATGTATCTCTAGTAGAATATTTTACTGAATTGCCATAATTTTACATAGATATTGGTATGACTTACAACAGAATAATTAAATAGATCAACCCAGTGTTATACTTTAGAACTGGATTTCTATTCTCCCAAGTACCGGAATGAATGAATATGTCTTGAGATCAATGCTATCTCCTCTGGGCGTTTTAATACAAGTATAATTAAACGGTAATATATTTTTAAAATATAAACTTTTTTTAAACTAATTATAGAGGATGTTTTGAGCCAGTACTAACTAGAGTTATTCTATTCTAGCAGGAACACGTATACAACTATATTCGAAAGTTAAAGTGGGCATTTTGGTGAAATTTTTGCATCTACTAGATCTGAGAATCATTAAACACCAGATGAAAGCGTTTTGTGTAGATGGCACTACTACATTGTAAAATTTCATCAATACTGAATAATAAATCTGGTAAATATCAAGACATTTTATTAAAGTGATTACAACCGTAGAATTGCATATGAAAATTTCCCGAGCAGGCCACTTTCCACTTTAATTACTCACCATTGTAACCTAGGTCACTGTATGTAAGTATATAGATTATGATTATCAATTTATTCTGGAAGATTTTAACTGAAAGAAAAATGTAACCTCTTATCCAAAGTTTTTCAATTAATACGATAATAATGCATTCTGAAGTCTTTCAAGGCTACAGAAAGATGTAGGGAGGATTTCTTGTTTTGTAATTTCGACAAAGGCAATCTCAGGAAAAAACGGATATAAATTTGAACTTCTGATGTCTATATTTGAATATTTAAAATTTGCATGGAGGTATTATAAGCTCTTGCCTCAGAGGAACTTTAATGCTATCATGTGTTCAACCATTCATCAAGACATAGTATATAAGAAATTATCTTTGTGTGATATCTCCATGAAAGTGACATGTCACGATGGGGATGTGTCAAATTCAAGAGACTCTCCTGCATTTTTATGTGAGAGTCTAAATCTCTGTATCTATAACATGTTTGCAATACCATCTGCCATCTGTGCAAAGTGTACATTTAGTAAATATAAGCCCTTTCCAATATGGAGGGTGATTAATTGGTATCTTCTGCATCAGAACACCAGAAAAGAAATCCAGAATATCCTGTGAAAATGGTTTATGAAAAGTATGCATCAATATTTATTTTTCATGACGTGTTGAACAGTCTTCCAGGCACTTTCCTTCTGGTCCGGACAATATTTTTCAGATCGAAAATAATTCAGTTTGTGTCTAATGAAAATGCCATATAAAAATAGTCTTATATTGATTTTAGAATTCTATCTAGATGTCATCAAATTGGATTTAAGATAAATAAGGTGTACATTGTGCCATACGATTTCATCATTGTGAATTTGTGAAATTTGTGAAACTTCCGACAAATAGTTACACATTTGGGACCCCACATTGTGAGTATGGGTTGTATAAGTGTGGAATTTTAAAATGAATATTCATAATTAAATTGCATAATGAAATCATGTGACATCAATATTTGTGGTAGGAATTTATGAATGTAACTAGAAAGAGGTTAATTAAGGGTAGATAACTCTGCCATGTAATTAAGGTTGTTATTGTAAACTGAACATTATTAATTTTCCGTCAATATATATATATGTTGTTCATTACTATATATATAAAACTGCTGACAAGTGTTGTCAATATCAGGAAACGTCAATAGCTCAATCTCTCTCGAAGGCACCCTATCATAGAGATAGATTTCTTTAAAACCAAATACCTACTTGTTTTTTTGTCATTGAGGTAATGAATGTTCCTAAGTCCAATGACAGCCTAGAGAAACCATGGTATCACCGTTTTAGTAAGATTCTTACCAATATGTGTGTTCTGTTTTGAGTGAGGTTATATCTGTAGTGTAGACACATTCCAAGTCCTTATGTAGACTGTTGTAAAATACAAGTTAGACTTTTTAAATTTAAGAGAGAGCATTTTAATTGAAATAATTTTCTATTTAACAAAGTATGTTCAATCAAGGTATTCACTTGCCACATCTGTTTCATACAAAAAGTGCAATTTACATCCATATGATGTTGTGTAAATGTCAAACTTCGTATAAATATATATATATAACGACGTGTACATTGAGTTATCTCCCCTTGTCCCATTCACAAGATTTATCTCCCCCTGTCCCTGTTGCACAGCACGGTCATTGGCTCACTGTGCTTCTTATTGTAGTTAAATCTGGCTGTACATTTCTTTAACAGATCTAACAGGTCTTTCAAGGTGTAAAATATTCCTTTTTTAAGAAAATATTATTGTAGATATTTTTTCTTCTATTATATTTTAAAAACAATGAGTCTTTTAGAGAAAAACTAGACTTTGCTATTTGAGAAATGACAGGAATTCTTTTCTTGTTTAAATGTTTTTGATGGACGATTATTTAAATCAAGGTTATCAAATGAAAAAATTTGACATGTTTTAGGATGAATTATTAATATTCAGCAGTGCTGTTGAATTTTTCTACACAACCTCTAGTGATCAGCTAAGTAGCTGGTTCTCTACTGAGTCGATGCTTCAATCAGATCAGCGGAAAGGGTCTGAAATTCATATTAGTTTGGTGCAGCAATCTGTTTATTTTTCCACTTGACTTTGTCGAGAGGCAATATGAAATCCTGTCACTTTCATATTATCTTACATTTTGTATTCTCCACTCTGTTCCAGTTGTGTTTTAAACTTTCATTGCATGCTAATTGCTAGATGTCTATTACCAGTGGCAAAGTTGATAAACAGTTTAACTGCAGTTGTTGTTATTATCATCATTTTTATACACAAAACCTTCACTTCCAGGTGAGTTATCCATTGTATCAACTTTGAATTCATTAAATAATGACATCTGTGTAAATGTTCAACATAAAGGGAGTTAATCATTCGGGTTATCTCCCCTTGTACCAGTGGCGACCAGTAGCTAGGACAAGTACTTCTATATATAGAAATAGCACACCAAGAAAGGTACTAGCTCAATACGAGGCCAAGATGGATTTATAGGTGAATAGGAAAATTAAATAAATTGACAACTATAAACTTTAACTTTGTGTGGTGTTATATTTTGATAAATTTGATGAAAAATGCCATTAGGATTCATTTAACTTTAGACAAGGAATAGCAATGGCAAAAAACAGGATTTGAACACAGGACCTCCGAACTCCCCCATCAAGGCTGTACCAGAAGTCACTCTGAAAAGAGTTACTTTACTAGATAACATCAGATGAATTTGACTTTGTTGCAGACAGTGAAGATAATACTTCCTTATTAGACAGATGATGACAGGGATGTGGCTGTACAATATATTAAGGTAATCTCAGTTTTGACAAGAAAAGAAGCATACTTATAACATGAGTACCGCAAAGCGGAACAAAATATGCCCGTGAATTTCCAAAACAGCAAAGGAGCATAACTCTTATTCAAATCATCTAATCAAAACCCCATTCAGGAAAACACAATTTCATATCGTGGTGATTAAGCCTACCAAGTTTCATAAAGTTTGGCTGAAAAATGTTGGAGGAGATCACCGGACAAGATTTATATAGTGAAATAAACTAAGGGGCATAACTCTTATTCAAATCATCTGATCAAAACCCCATTCAGGAAAACACAACTTCATATCATGGTGATTAAGCCTACAAAGTTTCATAAAGATCGGCTGAAAAATGTTGGAGATCTCCGGACAAAATTTCTATAGTGAAATAAACAAAGGGGCATAACTCTTATTCAAATCATCTAAGCAAAACCCCATTCAGGAAAACACAATTTCATATCGTGGTGATTAAGCCTACAAAGTTTCATATAAAATAAACAAAGATAACTCTTATTCAAATCATCTAATCGCCCCATGAAAAATGTTGATTAAGCCTACAAAGTTTCATAAAGATCAGCTGAAAAATGTTGGAGGAGATCTCCGGACAAGATTTCTATAGTGAAATAAGCAAAGGGGCATAACTCTTATTTAAATCGTCTAATCGAAACCCCATTCAGGAAAACACAACTTCATATCATGGTGATTAAGCCTACAAAGTTTCATAAAGATCGACTGAAAAATGTAGGAGGAGATCTCCGGACAAATAAAAGTTCACGATGGACGCTGGACAGACGGGTGGACAGCGCCATGCCATAATACGTCCGTCTTTCAACGGGCGTATAAAAACTGTAATGCAGCATGCATCCTTAATCAAAATGAACTTGAAACACAATTTCATGGTACTGGCTTTATTTTTTACATAAAAAGATATGTACACATATAAGTCAACATTCATTCAAGAATTGTCACATTAGCAATCACGTATTCCAGTATGAGTGATACAGATGGTGCGTATCAGCACTATTATAGGTAAACCTTAACAATGGAGACATGAAATATAAACAATAAAGACATATTTATGTGAACATACATAACAGTTGTTACTAGTTGGAGTTGTAAGGACTATTACAGTGAACAATCTGTTGGATGCCAGAACAACAAAATGGTAGTCGCATCAACAAAATATTGATAATATCCATTAAAAAAAACTTCCTTGGGGAGGATAGAAGTTTCACTGAAATATTCCTTAAAATGTTTATCTCCAAAGACAATTCAAAGAACAAAAATAAACTGGTTTATCAAGCAATCATATCAATGCAACATTAAGTTGCGTGATTTTTCTAACAATTGTAACGTTCCTGTAATAAAAATACAGAAACTTTTCAACAAATAACAGGTGGATGAATGTAAGTGAAGATTTCTACAAAATTTCAATAAAATTTTTACATCCATGTAAACATTAGGATTAAAATGTCATTTGTAAAATCTTGACGAAGAAGAAATGTTACAAATTTGGACTCCAAAGCTGCAATCCTTTCAGATTCACAGGTCTGACCTTCACTATACATATTTACAATACATCAAATGACATCCCATATATTCTATGCTACATTCAAACTCATCAATGCCCAACAATCATCATTCACACATATGTTCCTTTCCTACAAAACCCTTCTCAACACCGAATGAACTGATTTCTTGAAAACTCCTGTCCCATTAACAATCCAAATCCTGAACCCCTAAAACCCTCCCCTATCCTGATTCTTCTAACTGTGTCGATGTCCAAGGTTATGAATTAAGCGGGACTTTTTATTAATAATCTTCAAGCTCACGGCCAGTATATCTAATATTAACTTGAAGTGTCAGACAATGCAGCTGTTTCAAAATTTTCCACTGTTTTGATAGGATAGAATATTAGCACATTGAGGCTACCCTCTTCAACTGTTTGTTGGTTAGTTTCAACTAAAGACCAATAAACTGATCCCACAATCTTTTCACAAACTAACCGGACCAGTATTTTGTAGAAACAGTATTAAATGTACATTTTCCTGGTAACTATCGTCACCATCTCTACATGGACAAGAAGGGTACTGTTGTGGACTGGTAACCTAAGAACTGCCATCTCTTCTCAATTGTGGCTCCAACACCGGACATAACAAGCTTGAACAACACTGGTAATCTTTCCATCAAATTCTCGAGTTCACTGGTGCGTGATGATACACCAAGCTGATGTAGGTAAGACCAGATATAGTCAACACTGGCCCCATTTGGGTGGACATGGAGGAAACAACAGATCAGACCTGAAACAAAGTGTCACACTTACAGTAATGAGTCAAAGTTCTCACTTATATAGCAAAAGTTCAGATCTACCATAAAGAGTCAAAGTTCAGATCTGCCATAATTATCAAAGGTCAGATTTACAATAAAGGGTCAAAGTTCACACCTACATTAAAGAGTCAAAGGTCAGCCCACTCCCAACAAGTGTCAAAGGTTAGACTACAATAAATGTCAAAGGTCAGATCTACAATAAAGAGTCAAATTTCAGATCCACCAGAAAAAGCCAAAGTTCAGCAGATTCTCATCAAGTGTCAAACTTCATAAGTGTCAAAAGTTAAAACATACAAAGGTCAGAACTACAACACAACTCATTATAAAATTCTACACATTCAGTGAAGCTGCATCTGTGTCCCAGAAGACCATCAATGGTTATTGGACAATTTTTACCATGAAAACAACAAAATCTTGTTGAAATCGAGAAAATCTCTAAAATTCTTGCAAAGAAAGTTGTCAATTATAAAAGACGATCACATTTAATATCTTTAAATAAAGATGTCTCATTATTTCAATTAATCCTTTTTTTTATTTATCAATGCCACTAAGTCAACAAAAGGTCATTTTGACTGGTTAATAGATTTGTGTACTGTTTGCATTATACTCTGTAGTCATCATTAATAGTATCATACCTATCAGCTTAGCTTCTTTTTCTGTTATGGACAAACTACTACCAGTATTGCCAATAGAGGATAAGTTGAGGAATGGGATGTCTGTCACTAATGACTTCTCTAGCTTTGTGTCCTCGCTGTCCTCTGTTGTAACCTGAAAGGTCAAGGGAAACAAGAATGATTACAGAAAGATTGGGCTGTAATAACATGTTAACTATCAAAAATAAATCACAAACAATATCAACAGATATGTAAATGGATATAACTCAAGAACGCTCCAAAGAAAAGTGTAAAACCTGTCCGCCTTTCAAAAAACTTGGTGTGAGATTTTCTTGTGACATGTACACCAGAAATTTGTTCACAAAATCATTAACTATAACAAGTTTGTATGAATCACTATCCACAGATATTGTAATTTCAGCACTTTATCACCTTTAGCCCATGATGAATATAGGCATTCACAAGGATTGTTATAAAAACAGAATACAGAAATCAAAATTAGAGAAATCATGTGTTAACGTTACACTTTTAGCCCAAAAAATGCTAAAATAAGATCACCACAAAAATATATATGTTAACAGTATCAATTCCCTGTTATATAAACAAATATTTTATAACAATTAAGATCCGCATCAATATCTGCAATCTATCCTGTGAAATGTAAATATTCAAACTAAAACTGGCACACAACCGTTCATGTATATCTTGCAATAAGACATGGGGCCAGATCTGATTCTCAGGCCATAGGTTATAAATCCAAAGTTTTAACAAATGATATTTACATTATAAGAAAAAGCATTTTTTTTTTTACATTTCCAATGAAACTTTTAATAAATTAGGTTAGGACTTATACCAAGCATGGGCTTATTGCCAGGTATATATAGTATGTCCTTACTAATGATAATTTACACTAACGATGTATATGATTCACTACCTGTTCTGTTGTGTCATCTTTTGTATCTGTAGTTGTATCTGTCTGGTCCTCTGTACTGTCCTTGTCTTCTGTACTCTCTTTGTCTCCTGATTTTTCTGATGTTTTCTCCTTCGCCTTCTCCCCAGAACTGCTACTTACTTTGGATGCTAGTGTCTTGTACTTTTCCAACTCTTTGATTTGCATGCGTGTTTGAATCAATTGCTGGAAAGGCAATGAGAAAAGAAGCTGATGTTAGCCATTTAGATATTGGATACATAACTAAGTAGTTACTCAAATGCCCAATAGGAATGGTCTGGTCTTTCACTTGAGATCAAATATAACAACATCAAATCAAACATCTCCTAATAGCAATGAGTAAAGACATGGATGAAAGTGAAAAATTATAAATATTGTCAATGGTATGAACAAGATCTATTCTAGTAAACAATATCTTCCTCCCTTGAACTCTAGGTTTTGTTCTGGGGTACCACGAATATAATCCCTAATTGGCTTAGAAGAAATATGCGGGAACCCAAACCATGGATATATTTTGAAGTCTTGGGGGTCAGGCAGGTGTTTTAGTGAGAAACACCTGATTTTTTTAGATAGATTTTTTTTATTATAATCTACTAATAGATTTCCTTTCATTTGTTCATTTTTCAGTGCTGATCTAGCAATCAATCTTCAAATCATATTTACAGAAGGAACATAAACGAGTATTACAACTCCTTCAAGCTTCCACAAGCTATTACACAGTGATGATTAATAAATTTTCTAAAAATAGTAGCATGTGACCTTGAACTTGACACAAAACCCCCGAAACTTCAGCTTCATAAAGTGTGAAGTTGGATGAGAATCCTTCTAAGAATAAAGTCGCTGTTGCAATGACAATGATTTTTTAAAAATAGTAACAGTGACCTTGACCCTAAAATCCTGAAACTCAAATTATTACGAGATATTCTGTTACTTTATAAGTGTGTGAAGTTTGACGAGAATCTCTTAAGGAATGAAGCCGTTACAGCACTGACAAACTTTCACAGACGATAGGACAGATGGACAGAAAGTCAAACAGAGAGGAAAACTATAGAACACAGATCTCCTATCAATAACTGTCTACCTGTTGCATGCCTTGTAGTACAGTTTGCAGCATCTTCATCTGGTTATCTTTCTCTGTCAAGGCATCCTTGTTCTCCTGACGAATCAAAAGCGTCTCATTCTGAAAGGCTTCAACCTGGCGCTTCAGAGCCTCGTTATCTTCACGTAGGAATGAAAGTTGGTCTGTATCACAATTAAAAAAAACATTGAATTTCTGATCAGCTCTGAAACTGGTTTGTACCACAAACACAAATGTCAGTAAATAAAATTATTTCTAAGTTAAACACTTTTAAGTACAATACTTGGTGAGACACTGTAATGTCTTTTATTGTTCATTAAAAATAAGTAATATTTTCATGACCAGCATATTTCTAACAATTTTCTTCCAAGACCAGTCTACATCACATCTGACTTATTTTGTAGCATGCTTAACAAAACAGAACAAAAAAACTATAATATTTACCAAAGTTTATCTGCTGTTTGAACCCACAGTCCTGTATATGTATATAAAATGTTATCTGAACTCACTTTCCTGTATATGAAGAGTAGAGGCAGCAATCTGATCGTCCATCTTTTTCTTCTTGGCAGCCGATGGATCTTCATCATTATCAGACATTTCCATGTCATCCTCCTCACGAGAGCCAAGGAACTCCTCCTGCTGTTGTTTTTTGATCTCCTAAACAAGAAAACATTCAACAAAATTAAAAAATTGTTTTACACAACAAATGCATGAACTCATCTTGCACACATCCGGAAACCATCCTTAAATTACCATAGCTGTTGATGTTAAGCAAAACAAAACTAGACCAAACCGAAACCAAACAGTACTTCCCACTCAAACATTTTGTAACAACATTCCTTGGCTATAATAAAAAAAGTACTACAGCCATATGACTAGTCTTCAAAGATGTTTTAATGATAATTTGTTAATGGCTATTAAAAAAAATATGTGTAAAGTCTGGAATAGAACATAGGTAAATATATGACTTCAGTAATGTGCTGACCTTTAACCTCAAGCGCTGACCTCATCGGATTGAGAGATCTACTTACCAAAGCTGATCACAGACCAACATTTTTCTGACACAGAATCATGCGGCCTTGTACGTAGTAAGGTCAGCCGGTTGTCCAAGTTCACCATGTGACTTTTTCACACCTTACCAGAATCACTTGTTGTTCACTAAATTATTTAGTGGACATGTAGACCGTTCAATGTCATATTATCTCCCTTTAGTTAAACCATTCTGCGTTTTCCGTACCTTTCACCAAACGATTGGTCTAATCTATTTTTTTTGTTCAAAGATCATCCTTCCCGAAGTGCTTTCCGTATCTCCCATCAAACAAAGACAAATATGTATCTTACCATAAGATAGTTATGAACAGATTTCTACACCATACCATCCTATAACAGATATATGGAAGGTCTCTGAATGACTGATACAGAAGACAATATCAATGATCTAGCTTTAGAACTCGAGTGCCTGTTTACCCTGAAGCATATATCTATAAAATTGTGGAATAACTTGAAAATCTATATCTTTCCTTATTCTCAAAAATGGCGTCTAGCAGAGTTTATCCTAATTCTACCTAATCATGATTGATACCAAGCAGTAGAATTAAATTAAAATCATTTTAATATTTTTTAAAGCATTCCAAGACATCCTACGCTTTAATAAACTTTAAAACATTTATTTTTTTAAGTGATAAAATAATTCAGCCTTACAAGATACAGTGAAGCTGGGATAACAGTTCCCCAATCTATAGTGACTGCCTCTTTATAAGGGTCACCTGTCTATACAGACCACTTGGCCGCAGAGACAACCTGATTCTTGAATAGAGTTTTCTTATTTACAGTACTATAAACTGGTTTCATATCTCTACATTTATGTAAACTTTGTTTTTGTTTCCTCTGTAGGTCTGTATAGACAAGTTTTAACGACTTAAGATACAGTAATACATTTGAACTGACAACCTCCCAGACTTTCACCTACCTTCATTAAGGAAGACCTACCTGCAGTTGTTTGTGCCAAAGCTCAATGTTCTTGCGCTGAGCCTTAGAAAAATGATCCCAATTCCTCTGTTTGAGAGCGGAATTAAACACCCGCTCAATCTGATCAACTTCAAGGGAACAGGAACAGAGAAAGGCAATAAATTAGACTATAGATCTGTGATCTGGGACTGACTTGTGCCTCATCATACCAGTTAAGTGTGATTCAACAATCACTCCAGTCCTGTACTGTACCTACAGGTCTAGATCTTAAACAACTGCATGACAATCAGTATTCACAACAGCAACATATCGCCACTAGTGTTCCTTTCTCTCGTGAATTTAGACATACATTAATAAATGTTGAACTACAAATTCAATTTAATTCCTTTTTATCTGAAAGTTCTGAAATATATCTTAATCTCATTTCATATCCGACATTCAATTTGGAAGAAATCTCTTTCAGTGAATGTGTTGCAGTGAATACAATACATGCATATGTTTGACGACAGATGACTCAAGTACTTACAGCATGAAATTCATTATGAACAATCAAATTACATCTGTTGAATATTTCAATTAGCTAAAACAATGAACAAAATAAGGTAAAGAAATATTGTGAAAATTTGTTTTGTGCCATTTCAAAATTTTCTGTTGACAATTTCATGCTGTTTTTGTAGTTGAGTTTTGATCCAACGGCTTCCTCAGTTTACAGCTGTCTACCTGTGACAAAAACCAGGGCTACCAAATCCTTACCGAGTCTTAAGAAAAAGACATACCAAGCTATCAATGTATTTTTGCCTGTCATCATTTCTAATTTACAATATTGTTAAATCTAAGTGTTACATGCATTTCTTCAACAACCCCAATTTCAAATAACTGTAGCCATCTCAGAATTCAATTGACAGCTGAAGGTAAAGAAGTTTTCTCCCGAATAAGACTTCCATTTGAAGTGACTGTTGATGGATGGTACCCAGCAGGGCAGTGTCACAGGTAGGTAGAGGTCAGAATATACTTTTACCATATACAGGAACAGTCTCAATGTATCACATGTAAAGTTGTACGTCTCCAAACACTGTAAAGGTTCCATGTACTACGAAACATTTTATCACAGATATCATTTCATCGTAAAAAATACTGACAACTCTAAAATGATTTTGATGTACATTTCAAAATTTGAGTAGACTGTATAATTTTTAATGTTTTGTTTATGAAAAGAAACATTAATACTTGAATAGAAACAAGAAAGAACCTCTACAGTTACATATTAATTCCAATACGTTACCCTGTATACTTACCACCTAATTGGCACATGTACGTGACACTCCGACATCATGACTTAAGCTCCTAAATCATCTTATTATTTAATTAAACACAGGAGCACATATTAGATTTAATATGATTTGGAGAACTGTACTATATTGTAAACACTGTAAAGGTTGGGACTTTATTTTTCCTTCGTGATTAGATTTTTTGCTACAACACCAAAACTTTAAAGTAATGTTATTTTTTTCACAAAAATTAAATTAATGGACTATTATTTTGATTTTTTTTCAAAAAAGTTTTCCTATGAAAAAAAAGAAAATTCCTCAAAAACCTTTAAAGTATTACAATTAACAAAAATACAAAATATTTTGTACTTACCAAGGTCAACACTTGCGGATTAAATCAAATATTTATTTCTAAATGGTCTACTATTCAAAATCATATAAAGTTTCTTTTTTAACTCTTTTGACCTTGTGAGTACAGAAAAATTCATTCTCCATCATTATACTTACCAAAATGCTTGCAACTTCATGGCACCAAGCACTTACCTTGATAAGGGATCAAATTTACTATTACTGGTCCTCTCGTTCGTTACCTCTGACACCATCGACATACATCACCACAAAGCCAAAATCATTTTTTGTTTCATCAAGTGTCCAGATTTTTTTATGATTTAATAATGATGATTTTAATATAAAAGACATTATTTTCTACATACACCAAGACCCTCGTGTCATTAAAGATCACTTCATGTTCCTTAAATTCAAATTCAAATAATTTTCAAATCACAGAAACTTTTTCAATCCAAAATGAAACACTTTGGCTTTAAGGTATCAGAAATGAAGTTGCAAGCATTTCTTCACATCAATCATATTTGTACTGGGCTTGCTATAAGAAAACTTCAATGAGACATATGATATGCATAATTTTAACATGTACCATACTACCTTTCATTTAAAACTTGCTGAAATGTCTAATTTGTGATGGTCTGACTTGGCCAATCAAACTTGTTACAGATAATCATTCCAAGTTTGAATTATTTTCTTACCATTTCTGTACATCCAGTTCAACCAAAGATAGTTTCCATGTTAACAAAAAGACTATTCCGTAGGTTTCATCCCACCTTTTCATAAGGTACGTATTTTCAAAAATGTTGTTAAAAATTTGCTTACAATAGCCATACTTTTAACAATAATCAGCATTGTTAAAAGTACACCACAAACCTTGATGCCTAACTGTATTACATCAATAATTAATCCTTTTGGTCAATAGAGAATAAGTGTGGAGTTACGGAAAGATTCTTCAACTCTTAAAACCATGTTCCTGGTCGCTGTGGACTTGATCTGCAGATGATGCTTACCAACAGATGTTTATGGTTGCTCTTGCAAATGAGTTGAGATTATGATCCCAGCTAGTCAGACGTTAACAGTCTCCATGACAACTGTTTTTGTTTAAAGTATTTCCAGATATCAATCAAACTCATAAGAAGTTTCAAATCTAGGTCATATTTTTTCACATAAAGATATCAAAAATTTATAATCAGCATTAATGCATCATTTATACAGATAATACTATATGTGATCCTGTTAAGAGTGTAATGGAAGTCCAGCATATTTTCCCTCTGATCTCAACCAGATAGTAAAGCTTTAAACTGAGTAATTTTCTATTGATATTTCTGTACAAAAAATCAGTGAATACGGTATCTAGTGCATTGATGTTACCTTTTAATATTTGCTTAATACTTGCAATATTTTGCAAAAAAAAATTATTTGAGCACTTTGTAGCTTTTAAAACCTTCATGTCCCATATTCTTATTAATGAGCTAATAATATACATTTGTTTTGTAAGTTTCATGCAAGGTTATAATTCAATTATCTATCATTCATTAAATTATCACTTGTCAGAAATATATGTAAAAGAGCTTGCCATTCCATCTGTTGAGAAGCAAACAACTGGCACTGACCGAACACTCAACTGACTTGAAGCTCCAGCCAGAGAGAATCACTGTGTTACAATACTTACATTGTTGAATGATGCCTTCAAAGGCTGACTGGTACTTCTGCTTAGCCCGCTGTACATCTTGTTCAGCTTCGTTTTTCTCCCCGAGAAGTTTTCGGACCTGTGAGTTAGTACACTGAATGAGACTGTAGAAGTTAGCTACGTTCCGCTTGGTTAAATCGCCACGCTCAAGCCACGTGATAACAACATTGTTTGCCATTTGGTACTCATCATCAGCTGTAACAAACAAAAAGTTCAGGAATGTAAACAGGTCTCTCGATCTGCCAGATTTGGGGCCGAATATTCCCAATGCAACACAGTATCTTTTTTCCCAATTTAGACCCCAAGTTTTCCCAATTCTAAGGAAAATGCTGCTATTTTTCCCAATTCTAAGGGCCCCGGGCCCCAGTCCCAAAATGGGGTGTGAGAGCCCTTGTAAATTTATATTTATCATTTTTTTAATGAGCCTTCTAATACTTAGAAAACAATAATTATGCTCAATTTAGTGCTAATATTATTAGAACCTATCTGTATGCAGTTTTAGAAAATGTTTCAGCGTAATTTTCCCTGAAGTAAATCTCACAAAAAGTCACAATCTGATCTACACAAGGGCTGTTATTGATCAGTACAAGCTTTAATCTTCTGGTTAATCTTTAAATGAGAAAATCATTTGTTATCAAATTAATTTAAGAATTGGTAGTTTTTCTGACAGGTTTTGCTTAAAATATTTTCAATACTTCATTTTCTTGATTGTAAGGCATTATATTTGTCCAGTGTTAACTTCCTTGCAACAGTTAAAATCACATGAAAACAAACATATAAAGGACCAAGAAATTTGCGTTATAAAGGGTCTATTTATCAAAATACTGACCATAAAACTAATAACTGAGATATTTTGGGCTTACATTTCAGTTTTTCAAGCAGAGTGAGGGATTCATGGTCACTGTAATGTATTACTGGAGGTGGACTGGGAGGTCGCAGTCTGTCCTCCTCAATTCGCTGGTAATGACGCATCTCACGAATCACAGCACGCTGTTTACACTCAAATTCATACTGGTCATCTCTGGCCTGGGCATAGTCGACGTGAAGGCGGCCTGTGTTTGGTTTATCGTCTTTATCTTCAATCTTCATCCTGTATCCTGTATAAATACAATTTCACCATGTAATAACAGTAAACAGAACAGTTGCTTCTTGTGAAGATTAAACATAATGTATTCATGGAAAACTGATCACTAGACTCATTCTCTTTCATAGTAGGATGCTAGAAAAGAGACTTTCCCTGTCATCAAGTTTACTATTCATAACTGCACATCGCCTTCCCTCCTAGGTGGAGTGATTAAAATTCTGTAACCTTGTACGATGTAAATGAATGTTAATTCTTCCAAATACATGATCATCTTTGCATAAATCTTTTCAATTATTATAGCGGTGAACCTAATAGCAGGTTCTCTGCAGTCAAGTACAAACTACAACATACCTGACACAAACAAAGCCCTCTCTACACTGTCCTCCATCTCGTATCGGATATGGGCAAAGTTCTTTTTGCCTTTGCGGATACTGACAATATTTCCAAAATTCTCAAATATTTCAGCAATCATTTCCTCAGTCACATTCTCAGGTAGACCTCCAACAAATATAGTTCTACAGCCCATAGGCCTTTCTCGAGTTGTCTGAGGAGGAGCATCTACAGAAAAGAAATAGGGATATCCAATTTTAATGTGCCATAGATCAAATTTAGTGCATTCATACTTAATGTGTAAGAAAATGAATGTATTTTGTGGTAAAATATTTATTTCTCTGACAATTCACTAAATATGGTCCATATCTATATTTCGAAAATTGAAAAATTGCAAAATCAAAAAATAAGTTTTCTTGCATGACGAAAAACCAAACATATTACAGTATTGTATGTTGCTAACAAAGTTCAATCTGAAGTAAAGACTGGATTTGTTTTTCACTTATCCAAAGGAATAAAAAAACACAGGAAACATGTTTTCAAAAATTCAAACACTAACCATTTACTTTAGGAGAACCATAGTTGAGGTAGTGTAGACTTACTTTGAGGAGGAGGGTAGAGAACACTTGATTTTAGTGTCATTATTTCCTTAGGCATGAACTCTGAACCTGGTCCTCCCATCATAGGACCACCTGGTCCCATTCCTGGACCTCCAGGCCCCATAGGACCCCAGCCTCCATACTGGAATTCAAAATAGAGACAATCATACAACTGGATTTTTAAGACTGAAGACAAACCTCTCACAGAGGAAGTATCATCGCCATAATAGTGAAGGACACAGTTACAAACGGTACACTCCACAGTAGAATTCTGAGAATGTTCTCAAAAAATACATTTGAAAAAAAATTCTCTTGATCTTTATTATCTCTTTACAAAAATATGTCACAATTTTGGTAAAATATGTAGGTATAAATCTTTGCAGCAAAACAGAGAAGACAAAAAGACATAACAGTTGACTGTCTCACTGTGTGAGTCATGAAATACAGCCTACCTGGTTGAACATCATCATCATGTTGGGATCTGGGCCCATCATGGGGTTTTGCATCATGTTGCCCATGGGGCCGTAGTACCCCTGACCTCCCATCATCATGTTGTTATTGTTATTGCCTCCATCTGAACTCCCCATCATACCTCCTGATGGACTTGCACCTGAAGGATCTACAAAAGATCATTTTCAACATAAAACAAAATTCATAAGGTAACCAAGCTGTTAGTATTACTGCCATCTTGATATTGACATAAGATTTTTTTTACATTAGACTGAAGTCAAAAGATATTGTATGGTTCTTCAAATCTGAGGTATCATACATCAAATGTATGGTACTTTTGTCTGATTTTTTTGTGTGCATATCACACATGAAGTCAGTTGTAAAATAAATATTCACTAATAAAGATGAAAAAAGACTTTTAAAAGCAAAATTAGAGTTTATACAACAAATTTAATTTCAGTGCAAGAATACCAACCATTTCGATTTCCATCCATCATAACACCCATAGGTGGTCTCCCCTTGTTCATATTGAAACTTAGTGGTGCATTATTTGTGTTTGGGTCCATTCCGCCACGATTAGATGGCATTTGAGGACCAATCATTGCTGAGGAAGAAAAATCCATTTTATGAATTAATTACATTGTATCATTCCCAATAAAAATACAGACATATATACAAAATACATACTATAGACTATGTCACACTGTCAACCCACTGGTTACAATCATGAATATCTTAAGACCTGAGAGAATGAGTTATGGAGGCAGCTGTACATAAATGAATTGTATTTTGACTTTTAATAAGTTAAGGGGACTTCAATATCCTTAAACCAAAACTCAGTGTGTGCTTATTAAATGACAAGGACAACGATAGCATTAAACAATGTTACTAATTAGGAAATGCTACTAAATGGCTTAAAGCACGGTCAAACATTTGTGCATGCATTCATATTTTGCAGTTGCTACCCGAATCGGCCACCAGATTTGTCCTTTGCTCTTCGGAAATACAGTGAAATCATTCAGTAGAATGATGGAAAGTATGAATGTTAATCTGTTAACTGTGTCACTATTGTATGTTATCAATTTTTCACATTCTTCTGTCATATTTTGACAATAAACTCTACCCATATTGTATATATTTAATAGTTTCTGATAGTTTTATTGTTTTTTTTTTTTTATCATCAATGTCTTAGAAATTGAAAGTAGAATTGGAGTCTGCCATTTTGTTATATAGATCTGTTCACAATTTGACCAAAAAAGCGTATTTCTGAAAACTTTACGAATTAAATAAATGAATATGCTTGTGACAGATGAAGTAAGTTATTATGCTATTACATAGGAGTGAAAAAGGAAAGAAAGAGTGTTTTAGGCTACTGCCTGACACCTTAAGACATCATGAAGGACAAGGGAATACTTTTTGTAATGTCTCAGTATGTCATGAGTACAGAAATAGTTAAGACACTCCTTCTCACTGGGTTACTTTCTATTGTCATGGATTAATGTTTTTGGCATATCCTATATAAATAATATACAATGTTACAGTAAAAGTATGTCTTTTATTGACCGCACTAAGTAAATCATCAATAATTGTAATTACCTTGCTGGTTGTTGTTGTAGTTTTTCATAGCCATCACAGAAGATCAAGTCTGCAAAATTGATAAAGGAAAATCATATATTAAGTGTCTTTTTACAGTGAAAAATTCATCTACATGTATACATATCTACTTTAGATTGAAGAGATCTCTCAACAACTAGAATTACAAGACATTATCAAAAACATTGTTGCAAATGGCCACATTCAAAGTAATATTCACAGGAGATCACAAAATACTATTTTCATAGAGATCAACAATAAAATGGTGTTGATCTAATCAAACCGAACAGATTTGTAAGAATCAGTTACATGTATGACTTTTGTTTTTATACTTTGCAGTTTCAATGTCTTCGGGCTACCACCTACAGTACATGGCTGGTCATATCCAAGACACATAACAATGACAAAATCTCCAATATATATCAAAATACTGCATTTTCGTATAGGCTTTGCCTAACATATATACATGTACATTTAACTGGATGTGAAATATATCATCAACAGTAATTTCTGTAGGATTTTTAAGGCATGTCCAGAACTTCAATTTGAACATTTTGATGACATCCAAAACTACGAGATATAGTGGGATCTGAAAATTTGGGAAAGTCCCACAGGAGAAGTCCAGGACTAGGGAGGTCAGCTCAAAAAATGAACCACCTAGAAAACATTTTAAAACATGTTTTTTGGACAAAACTCAAAGAAAGAGGAATTTTGGTGCAAAAATTTTGGAAATCGGTTGAGCGGTTCAAAAGTTACATCAATTTTTGTACCTCGAAAAGTGACCCTTTTTCTGTTTTTGGCAAATAGTCCCTAAAAGAGGCATGTTTGAGGCCTTATATCTGAAAATGTGGTTATGATATGTATTGTCTGATTGTTGTAGGGTGCCAAGTTCCCCTTAAGCTTCAAAAAGAAACATTTACTTAGTTTAGGTGGGGACAGATAAAAAAAAAATTGGCAGCTGAACATGAGGAATTATTCGTTTGGACTTAGTTTTTTTGCGAAATGTGTCGGCACCCCTCTTTGCTAGACTACCACTTTTGAAGAACTTTATCTTAAAAAGTAATCACCCAATTTATCCAAATCTCCTTATTTTTACAGATCACAATGCATTTTCTTGAAAAAAAATTCCAGTTAGGGTTTAAGATCATTATTTTTTTTAATATTTTGATATCAAATACCCTGCGCAGCCCCTTTTTGAGACGAAATCAAAAATTTCAGAAAAAATGACTTTTTTGATGCAGAAAGCTCAAAAAAAATCTGGAATTTTTTTTATATGGTGTTTCTTGTTGATCTTTGTATGTTTTATCAGAAAATATGTAATATTTCCCCTAAATTTTTTTTTTGAAAGCAACAGCTCCAAAATATAGCTGCCAAAGAGGTATATTTTTAGCCCCGAAAAGACGAAAAATAACATTTTTTCAGGACAAAAAGATCTTCAACTACTCCCAGGTGGTAATAAAATGACAATTTATATAAGAATGCTTATTTCTACATACAAATGATCAAGTTTTAACTCAAAACAACAATTTTTTGCAACATTTAAGGTTGTTTTTCTACGTTTTGAAAATTTTGGATAAAACCTGAAATTTGTGTTTAATCATGAAATGCGAGAAGAATATAAACTATTGTATGGTGTATAAGGTATCATTTTAAAGATAGAAATATGTAGAATGCAACTAGCAAATATTTGTACCTCTATCTATTAACAGCACCAAGTATTTCTATAAAAACCTAGCCCTACCCCAAAATCAAACATTCTCAGAAGGTGAACCCCCCCCCCCCAGCCCCCAATTTTTTTTTACTCCTACAAACAATATCATGTTCCTGTTGACATTAGTTCACCTTTTATAAGCCTTAAGAGTTGAAACACGGTTATTCTTGTCTTTATAAGTTTATCCTTAAGATTAAGATAAAAGCACAAAAAATAGGTAAATCTGTCATTATCTAGCATAAGTTACTTTTAACATCAATGTTAAAATTTAACGGTCATAAAAATTGTTATCTAATTAATTCAT